AGAAAAGGGAAATCTGACAGATGTTGGCTACATCTCTTTATAGGAGATGCAGAAGAGCAGCTGTTACTGTCAGGATTCGGAAGGATTTCTTGTGAAAGTCAGTAGCAGATGTCACCATCTGCTACTGCCCTCTCTATGAAATAGAGGCAAAAGGGAGACCGAAAGCTTGTAAAAAAAAAAAAAAAAAAGGTAATAACAAGAAAATTCAAGACATCCAAGCACATTTACAGCAAGCAAAGAAACCCCTTACCCCCTCCTTCCTGGCAAAAGCGTGATCCAGTTGCACAACAAAAGCAAGGAACACTCCCCATTCTCTTCCAATCATGATTTCTTTTCATTTTAATCTTGCTACATGTACTTTGACAACCTTCAGCCTGCAATCTAACACCTAGCCATTTCCTTCCTGGCTGAAAGAGATCATAGAAATGAGCAGTTGTATCCTTTCCCTCTGGCTATACAGCAATGGTCTGATGACAACTGCTTTACCAGAGCTGGTATCAGACAAACAAAAATTCCCTACTGAATGATCTACACAATGATGTCATGTGTGGAGGCAAAGTATTTATTACTTGGAGAGAAAAAAAACACACAACAAAAAAACAAAACTTCTGTTGCATTGTGTCAGGAAACATGCAGTACATGTTTGTACATCTTGGCAGATAAAGATCAGATGAGGCAAGCAATGAAGTGGTTAACCAAATCGGAGAGTTATCTCAGACATCCAAAGGCACATCTTGTAAACCTGAGAAAACTCTATGCAGAACCAAGGAGCAAAAGAGTAAGAGCTTGTGTGGGAAGAAACAAATGATACTGTCAACAAGTAGTTTGCTTTCTTACTCAGAAAAAAAAAAAAAAAAGTTATTAGTGAGATCCAGAGCCCAACAAAAGAACAGGAACATTTCCAATGGTGTAAAAAAGGCTTGGATCGAGCCCCAGCTTTCCTGAAAACTAGACTTGCTAATTGCCTCACTCTTCCACTGTCAAAACCGTCATCTCACTGAACTGAAATACCTTTCCAATATTGCTACAGGGTAGATATTTCCAAACTGGTAATACTGGGAGCCACATTCAACCACCAATAGAAACTTGCTGGGCACCAGCTTCCCCATTTGGTATTCCATAACGCTGTTGAAAAAACAAACAAACCCCCCACAATATCGTGTGTCCAACTTTCTGACAGTGTATGTACAAGCTTTCTGTACAAGATCGCCCACTGGAGCCTGGTAGGTCATGACTTTGGAGTTGGCTCTCTGAAGTACGATAGAAAAAAACACCCTGTTACAGTAGGTTACGACATTTGGCTGCACAAGAGAACCAGGGAGGTTCAGCTCTATCCTAATGTACACCTCCCTGATTTTTCTGGGAAGACCTTTTTAGGGTTTCTTTCGTATGCTTGATTTTGGAAACCGAGACAATCTTGTAGTATACTAGCACTGGTAGAAAGCATTTTGCTTTTCAGATAATGTTTAGACAATAAATAAACTTCAGAAATGGAAAATCCCACTACCCCTTGGCATGGCCATAAATCAGGAAACAATTGAGTTATACCCAAATAAAAAGTGATAACAGCAATAGAGAAACCAGCTTTAGCAAGGTGTATTTTCAATGTTGGTCTTTTCCCCAAAATAGTCAGATTACACTCATCTGGTGTTACCAGACCATCACCTGAAATACTATGCTCAGCCAGAACAAATCAACACGATCCTGTTCACTTCAGTGCAGCAATGTTGATTTGTGTGAGAAGAAAAACAAGTACATGTTAAAAAAAAAAAAAAAAAGTGACTGTTGTTATACCTACTGCCCCTCATTTCTTAAGTAGAAAATTTGCAAGGGAAGTACTACATTGCCACTTATTCTACTCCATATGAGATTTTAGATAATGTCCTCTGTTGCTACATATGTATGTATCTCTTGAGCATGGATCCAAGTATTTCTGCAATTTGGTAACAGTGTACTATTCCCAATTTAAGATGCAAGGCTCAGGTAGCAGGTTCAAGCTATCAGGAATTTATCACTGGTGATTTTTTTTTTTTATTATTTTTAAGTCACAGCGGATATCAGAACAAGAAACACCAGACTTAAAAGCAAGCCCAAACAATGAGCTTAAGCATTCAGATTTGCAGTATAGTGTCACATCTTAAGAGCTACTCCTGATACTGTATTCTTGTATGGCATAAAAGCAAGATAAAAGTAGAAAATCAAACAAGCTTCTCAAGGCCAGCGCTTCTCTCCAGTCTTCATAATTTCAAAAATATGAAACCTCTTATAGTAGACTTAAGCACTCTCTACCCTTATGAACTCTGCACAGACTTGCATATATTATACAGGACACGTGAGATTAACTACTAGATATCCTTTCCAAACTAAAATTGTGAAAGCTAAAGAGAAGGATCAGTATTCTGAAGTAAGATGTATTGTTTGTTTTTTCCTATACTGCCCTTAGAAGAATATGGGTTCAACAAACAAATAAAAAAAGTGTTTCCCCTATAAATCTGTAAGGCAGAAAATCTATTTTCTAACAGTTCTACTTTTTCTACTTTTTTTTTTTTTTTCCTCCAAGTTTCCCATTGTATTGCACCAGGTTTACATGTTGTAGTTATGCTTGTATTTTTCAAACCTTTTACATGTTATTTGAAGGGAAACATACCAGTGAAGAATTATGCAGGTGCAGTGATAAACCATGACTCGAAGATAAAAGGTATTATTTGTGTATTTCCCTTGCACTAACTGATGGCTCAAAGATGATTTAAGAAGAGCTTTGTTTTCCTGTTTAGGTTCATATGCAGCAACTTATACAAGCCTAACAAGAGAAATATTTAATTATCTTGCTAGGTAGAGGCATTTATCCAAAGGTAATGATTGAATTTTCTTAGGCTAGAATGCAAAAAAGAAGAGTATTTCTGGAAAAAAAATGATCATCTTTCACATCTCCCCACCTGCTCCCAATCTCTTTCACTTAACTCGTTAAGTTAAAGATGGAACCAATATAATTAAACTGTGAATTGATGAAATGGTTTGCTTTCAGGTAAGTTTTGTGCATTCAGTGTTCATATCAATTATGTTGCAGACTAACTGAGATGTGATATTGAGGAAAAATAAAATTCATCGACTTGCTGATTATGTATATTGCTACATTCCAGTCTCAAGGAAACAGTTCTTTATTAGACAGTTCTCATTTTTACTAGGCTCATGTGCTGCCCCAGCACATGAAAAAATTGAACATTTTATGAAGAGAAGACAAAGAAGACAATTTACAGTTGTCTTTTCAACTCAGACTCACTGAATAGCTGTTAAGAAACAACCTCAAAACTACTTTGCTTCCAGTTTCTTCTCTTTATAATTTTCAGACGTTCTCACATAAAAACGTTAAGCAAATGGCAGCAGGCTGTAACTACAAGTTGCTTTCACTGCTTGTGCTCCTGCTAAGGCTAATGGTATTAGCTGAAACTATTTCTAAGGCAAGATGGCAGATGGAGCTTAAAACTTCCCCTAGCACATACAAACAACTAAAAGTACAGCCTGAGACTTCAAAGCACAGACTCAGGTTTTCCACAGGGATATTAAATGTGTTGAAATGAAATTTTGGATTGGAAACTCCACTGCAGCAGTATCAAAGCTGGAACAAATGTCAAAAGGATCAAAACAGCGATGAACACTGAAGTTTTTCTCCTTCAAAATGGCACAAATCATATATGCTCCTGTAATTTCCATCTCATCCTATAGCTCTTTAATATGACAAGAAATCATGCCAGATTAGTATTTGCCATTGCATTTCCCCCCCCCCTTTTTATGTTGTTCAGGTGGTTTTTATTGCATCATTATAACTCAGCAATTCGGACATTAGTTTACATGGTGCACCACGAATATACTGCAGTGAACTGTTTAAAAGAAAACAAAGTATTAGGGTTTCTCAATGCAACAATTTAGCAGATATGATTCTCTTTTAATTTTAAACTCATACTGACATCTGCTCCAGTGAGAAGTGCTGCACCAATTTTTGCCAACGAAGATTTGATGCATCACTTACTGTAAATGCTGCCTACCCAGTGTACTATAAGGTTTTACAGCTGTGACTCCCAAAGACTCAAATCTCTATTTAAATCCTATTGACATTGACTCTTTTTTCCATTTTTTTTTCCAAACAGTTGCAATTATGGTCTATTTTATATTTGTAAGTATGAGTAAAATTATTATATTTTGTGCCAGGCTGTAATTTACATAATTGCATTCCTGTAAAGTTTGAATTTATTTTTCAGTTAAAAACAGACCACAATAAAAGGCTTCTGCACTGAAAATCCAGTTGTGTGTGTTAATTTAAAGTTTAATTTTAGAGTGTTTTTTAAGTCACGGTATTTTAAGGGCAGAGGAAAGCTGTCATTGTATAAGGGACTTTTAATCAACTGTGGACTTTTTCACAAACTAAGTACCAGTATTAATTGTTCATAAAGAGGAAAAAGGATGATAAAGGGGAGTTTAAAATGTGTTGCTATTAAGGATTTAAAAGAAAGGTATTTTAAAGCCATGTGTTGAAAGCCATCTTTTCAGAAGGTAAGGGTAATAATCCACAAGTTTCCAAAATATACTGGGCTGTACTCATTATTCTAATGAATTTAGAGGGTCAGCTATTTATGCTCCTTAATTTGGTGTTTATATACAAATAAAAATCTTGAGTACAAGTCACACTTGAAATTGCATCTGTTATGCAGTTGCCCACCTTAATGCTCTGGAGAGCACTGATACACAAAATCAGATACCCCAGCCTCCCTTCAGAGCCAGAGGGCTACAAAATGGAATATGGTACTTGAAGGTGAAAACTGTTATACTGCAGACTCTGAGACTGCCACGAGCACTACATTAAACACAGTCTGCTGGCTACCTCAAGCCAAACACCGTCAAGCACAGCATTTTGGCAAGTTTAAATGAAACCTGTGGATGCATTGTTTCATTTTTCCTGTCAGATGCACACAAATACAGGAACAGTTTTACATGGATTTTCTAACCTCTCCTGGGACTTTCATGATTGAAGAGGATGCCATTCACAGCAAAGAGATTGTAGGCCTCTCGGAAGTTCACCACAATCCAGTAGGCATACAGTTTTGCTGCCCCTACAAAAATAATTGGAGACGTTACATACATCTGCTCCACTTGTGCACACATACATACAGACACAGGCACATATACACATTTCTCTTCCATGCAGGGTGAAGGCCATGTTTCAGCAACAGAGTGCGCTAGAATTTGATTAATTCCCTAGATGTGTCACATTTCATATGGAAAGAATATCCAGCCCAATAAAGAGCAGCTGAAGGGTAAAATACTCCTTTTCTGCACAGCTCCAGAACCAGCCAGGAAGTGTTAGGGCGCTCTCTCACTTGTTTTCTTATGCACATTCAAGCATAGCACTTTTTCTTTTACAATATAATTAACACAGCCAGAGCGTGTGAAATACACCACTGTGGTGACCTCTGCTAATAAAAGAAGTGACTTCGGAGAAATAAAAGTGAAAATCTGGTGCCTTAACACTCAAATTGATTTGAAACTTTATCACCAAAGTCTTCCATGCGCATTGCTTTAATAAGTGTTTCAAATTTAATGCAAGTTCATGACGGAAGAAACGAGCTCTTGGGAGTTTTTCATTTAGGCAACAAAAAACATGAAACCTTATCACTTCAGTGGTATCTTACAGTCCTTTGTGAGGGAAGAGCCACCCTTCCCCCTTCTCTGTACAAGAGCTCTCAACTTCTGATCTGAATGAACAGAGTCTTGTGAAGTGAGATGGTAATTTCCAACCCCCGGGCAATGGCAGCAAATACTTTTTATATAGTAATTCATAAAGGTATGCCTCTCAACATGTCTAGTCACTTTAGCTCTATCGTCATTCTAATCTCACACCCAAATGACTTCAGCCCTGAGACATGAGAAGGGAGAGCAGACAGACAGACACTACTGACACACGCATCAGCGAGCTCTTACCATAAGGCGATCTTGGGTAAAAAGGGGTGGTCTCCTTCTGCGGGATTTCTTGCACTTTTCCAAAAAGTTCACTAGTGGAGGCTTGGTAGAACTTCACAGAGTTGATAAGGCCACAGGTCTTAATAGCATCCAGGAGCCGTAAAGTGCCAACTCCATCAACGTCAGCAGTATATTCTGCTAGGTCAAATGAAATCTTGGGGGAGAGAAAGAAAAAAACACCAATTATACTAGGAGAACCAGAACATGCAGTGATCATGTACAACCAAACAAAGCAATACATCACTTGTCACAAACCATCTAGACACTTTTGTACAGAGTAGATGCTCAGTTTACAGAAGTACCCTCAAAGGATTTCTAAGAATAAACAAGTAGCTCCATAAATAGCAGAATCAAAAGACTGGTGTTCCCTGATCTCTCTCTCAGGATCATTTTCCCATGTGAAGTAAGGGGTAAGCCTCCCCTACAGTGGGAGCATTATCAGGTGCTCTGTCATTTCCACAGCTGCCAATTTGCACAATATTCACTTGGGCTTAATATTTTTGACATACTTGAAATTGGTTAAAATTGGCCAAAAGTATGTAAGATAGCATGAACATTTATGAAAAAAAAACCTTGTTTACACCACCATCAAAAAAAAAAACAACAAAACACCACAAAAGGGAATGGACATTTAGAGTGATCTTCTCCATGGCCCCATCTAAAGGAAGAATTACTTTACGTGTACCTCTCTGGCTGATGAATGATTGACTTTCCTGAAACAAGCTCTACAGCAATAGCAATGTTACAGCCTCGTTATATGATCCAGTCCAGAGGTTAGCGAGACACTACCAAAAGCAGAGTACAAACCTACCATGCCCTCTTCTTCAGCGTTCAGTGACAGGGCAGCTATGGATGGAGAAGAAGGTAAAAGCCCCTCACCCAACAAGCTGAGCTATCACAGAGAAATCAATGGGAAACTTTACACTTGCCAGGTATTTTTTCAGGCTCTCTGAAGATTCAGACAGATAGCCCAGTATTCACTTCTCCTCTTAAGCTGCTTTCTCTGCTCAGTAATCACTGGGGGTTTGAGGCTTATTTACACAGCAGATGAAATCAAAATAATTAAATTATTTTTCATTTGCACTTATGGTTATTTTAATACAAGTATGAAATAATCTAAATTGTATTACTGTTATCCAAAATAAAAATGTTCTCACATAGCTTTGATCTGAAATAGCTATTGGTATGAAAACAAATTTAACTCTCTTTTTTTAACCAAAAGAAAAAAAATGAAACTTGATACTTTCTATGTTAACCTAGTATGACACAGCTAAAACTATGCACTGATCTACTAAAGAAGTGCTGAGCATTTTTGTTTTGTTTAGTTTTAATTCGCCTGCCATAAAGATAAGAGTCACTTAAGGCCTCTCAGCTTCACTGTTTGAGTAACTCTTCTGAAAACATCTTAATGAATGGGTCATACAATCACTTATGCACTAATGAACAGGAATTAGCATATTTACCTTCAAATATTTACAGTGGCATCCCAGCCCTCTAAGAAAAGGCAAAACAACAATTGTAGGAGAACCAGGAATTTACCTATATTAACATATTCTTTCCCAAAAAATAACCTGCTAAAAACATCTCCTCAAAATGCAAGCTTTGTTTGCATATTCTACTACATCAGCAAATGGTACATGCACATCTCAGGTGGTCTTAAATGAGCAATCCCACATTATAAAGCCTCGTCAGCAAGGCGAACAAAGAGCCTGTAGTAGCAGTACCAGGGGTTGCCCTCGCTGGCTGCTGCAGAGACCAGTTTCACAAGATCCGCTTTTCCCTATTGCCTTAAGAATGACCTCAATCTTCACCTAGAAAAATCACTCCCTAGGGTGTGAGGTAATTCTGCCTTCACACTGGCTGGGTCTGAGTGTTCCCGAGCAGAAACCGACAGCTTTGTGCGGGTTTGGTGTTTTTGTAATGTGGGCTATTGTTCACCAGGGACAGGACTCAGACCGCTAAACTCATTTCATTTTGGAGTGCAGGTTAGACTAGAATGGCATTCAAGAAAATGAAAAATGGTTTTATCCACTAAAAGCTCCAGCTCCAAAAACACGGGACTGTTAAGACATTTTGTGCGGTGTAACTTCACGCTGGGTTTTAATTTGATTCTAATCCAAAGTTAAGAATGTAAAAGTTTTATAAAACACCAGGTCAACTAAATAGTTACAAATGAAGCAGGGCAGATCATGAAAAAGTGTTAAGTTATCCATTACCCCATTATTTCTCTTTCTGAACATGTTATTTTGTGCAAGACCAGCAGGAAGATTGAAGTTATAAAATAAAATACGCAGGGACCTCATTAAGAGAAATGTGCAAAAGTGTACAAGATACAAAAGGACAGGGGTTGTCTTACAGAAACCAACTGCAGAATCGGATTCTTTGCTTGTGCACTTAGTTCAGTGAGACTTATCTAAGAGTAAAATCTTCATGGAAATGACAGTTTGTAAGGGCAGGTGCATAAAGGTTAAAATTCAAGCCTTACTTTCCGAAAGGTTAAAGATTTGTCCAGTGGAGAAAAGAGTTTAGGTAATACTAACAGAGTAGAGCTTTCACACAGCCTAACTTGTGACAACTATCTTAAATGTCTGAATTAGGAAGCTCATCTCTGTGTACACCACTGGAGACAGTGGCAAATCAGCAGAAAACCTAAAAGAGATGCTCTTGATCATGCTTTGCAAAAACCATATATACACAGTTTTTCAACTTACCTCCTTAAGAGAGATGCTCCATCCTAGCCTCAGAAATCCCAAATTAATAGTTACTGTCAACTGCATACAGAAAGCAGTGTACCTAGCAACTTTGAGGACAACTCCATGAGTTTCTGTAATGACTGGAATAGGGAAATGAAGCTTCTTTGCCTGTAAGAAGCTTCCAAACTGAAAGTCTTCTCAAAAAGAAAAGCATGTACCCAATACTCATTTGCCCTCTTTGGACAGACTTTGTGACAAAGGGACAGTGGCATACCAACAAAATAGAAATTGTCTTCTTGGAACATCGGAGTGAACGTGGAAGTGCCTTCCCATGTGCAATGAGGACACAGTGCTTTTGGAGCTGTCATAGCTGATCTGGGGAGGTGCTGTGAATATATACACTTATGACGTGCCTCTCCTTATTCCATTCACTAAACAGTTATTCCATTCAATAAACAGTGATAGCACTATCATTAGAAGTGAACAGAACAGAATGGAGATACTAAAATTTTTGGTTAAAAGTGCTTCATTAAAGGTTTTCAGGTTCTGAAAACCCTGAAGAATTGGCTCAGAATATTAAAAATTAATCAGGAGTTTTATACACTGAGTATCTTCAGTTTGTATGGGTTTTACTGAGAGACTAATCCCTAATTGCTGTACGATTTAAATACATTCTTAGGCAAGTATAAATTTCTACAGCAAGGCTTACCCATATGATGATAAAATCTTCAAGAAAAGGATGGACTCATTAGTTACAATGCTTCTGGAATCACAGGACACAATATGAATACACTGAATACCATATTGTGTTTCTTCAATCACACAGCTTCGAGAAGGACAATGAGTTCTGAATATATTTTGAATGTGAACTCCTTTTTCTCTCCATGTCTTTCTTTATAATTGCCAGATTCGATCTCTACACAAGATTTGAATTCAATAGAGCAATGTTTTAAATATGATGTTTCCCAACTGATCATTCAAAACGAAGCTTAGCAAGGTCTTTAACAAGATTTAAAAGCTTACTGAAAACTATCTAAATGAAAACATATGGGGCTTACCCTCCACAAGAACACATTCCTATCATGTGTATGAGTACTATATATATGCAAGCCTGCAGACTTTAGAGTACTTGCTTCTGACCAATGCATTGTTAACAATGGTGATATTACGAAAATAAATTTAGCATGCACATACGTTCAGCTTTGAGATACTTCATTTCCTTTTGTCATTTAAAACAAACTAAATGATGGGCTACAATCACACTACCTATTTGCTTTCTAAAAAAAAATAAAAATAGTGTGCACTAGCAGAATATGCTCTAATGTTCTACCTAAGGCAGATAAATAACAATTTGAAATTTCATCTCCTTACTGCCTTCTCAGTTTGAGAATATGGGATTTCTAGAAGGCCTGTGTTATAAGAGGGAAGCTTATGAGAAGCCCCAGGAGGAAATAGGATAATATAAATGTAAATTGTTATTCTTCCACTGTAAAAGCAAAGGTGGCTAACCCAAATATAACACTAGATGAAGCATCTTTGCTCTCCTGGAAAAACTTACAGTAGTTTTCTTTAGATTTATCAGAGTAGAAGATGTATATCAGATATCTTTAAACACAGAGAAAGGTTTACACCTGAAAAGCAAATCACAAAGAAGAAAAACCGCTCAGAAACCGCTCAGGCCCTACAGGTTTCATAGCAGTTACTTTTTGTATTCTTTAAAATCAATTCTGTTTGCTCTGAATATTCAGTGTGCCTTCCACTGCCAATAAAAACCACTGGGATCACTTATATCATCTCAGTAAACAAACTGCTCAACCCCTAGGAACAGGCATTTAAAGCATAACATTCCAGTTGCTAAATCTAACACAGAGTATGGGCCAAGCATTCCTGTAAAGTCCTAAAACCACAGAAAAAGTCCTAGCGATTTTAGGAAATCTAAAGTATTTGGGGAGAAGTGGAGGGTGTCAATGAGGATGGGGATCAGTCTATACACCTACAAGAACATCAGGTAAGCTTCTAGGAGAACATGACAACTCCTCCTGCCTCCAACCCTTTAACTCAGAATGAATGAGTGCTTAACTCATTGCCCTCTCACTCAATAAAAGTAGTAGTTGAAAGACACACACACACACACACATACATATATATAGTAGTTTGGGATATTTTGGCATATTTTTGTTCTACAGAAAAATGGCCAATTCAATAGCTCTGTTTTACTTAATGTTAGGTTACATTCTTGATATATTAAAGCCCTATTCAACGTCTTAGCAAAATAGACATGGACTGAAAAATGACTGAAAACTTTGATAAAATGAATGTTTTTTTGTAGATATATCTTCTTTCCTGTCTCCTTCCCCATTCTCTTATTAATAAAACAGAAATAATAAAGTGATCTGCATAAAATTAGATCAACAATTATAAGCAAAGAATTAGCAAGGAATAAGTTTCACAAATGCATGCA